CCATTGGGATGGATGGACAGATGCTCGTCCCCCTTCCTGCCCCCACTGGGACAGCTGGATGTTGCCCCCTCCGCAACCCCCTGCCTCTCCCCTCCCCTCCCCCTGCCCAGGGATGGACTCTGCCTCCCTGTCCTGCCCCTCCCACAGGGACAGACACTGCCCCCTTTTATCTCCCCTGCCCTGGGGACAGACTGACAGACACTGGCATCCCCCAACCTTGGGGACAGACCGACAGAGTTAATTAGGAGCAATTCCGTGTAGACAAGCCCTGAATCTGCCAACTCACTAGAGCTCCCAGCTACCACCTGCCCTGTTTAAATTACACATCTCCATACATCAGCTTTTCTGTCCTGCATCAATTGATCGTTTTGGATTCTCCCACATGATCAAATTAACACGTTTTGGGGGCTCTTCTGTCCTCTGTTCCTTCTAAATAAATTCTGGCCTCTCTCCAGGCCCTCTTCTCTCCCCTCCTCCCCCTGTTAACAAATTCTGAACACTTCCTGCTCTGCCCCTATTAATGCAGTCTAGGGGACATTAAGGCCCAGTTCCTCAAAGGCATTTAGGAGCCAGCAAGTTAAAGAAGTATGGGCTGGATGAATGGACTATAAGGTGGATAGAAAGCTGGCTAGATCGTCCGCCTCAACGGGTAGTCATCAATGGCTCCATGTCTAGTTGGCAGCTGGTATCAAGCGGAGTGCCCAAGGGTTGGTCCTGGGGCTGGTTTTGTTTAATATCTTCATTAATGATCTGGAGGATGGCGTGGATTTCATCCTCAGCAAGTTTGCAGATGACACTAAACTGGGAGGAGTGGTAGATATGCTGGAGGGTAGGGATAGGATACAGAGGGACCTAGACAATTTAGAGGATTGGGCCAAAAGAAATCTGATAAGGTTCAGCAAGGACAAGTGCAGAGTCCTTCACTTAGGACGGAAGTGGCTAGGCAGCAGTTCTGCAGAAAAGGACCTAGGGGTTACAGTGGATGAGAAGCTGGATGTGCCCTTGTTGCCAAGAAGACTAACAGCATTTTGGGCTGTATAAGTAGGAGCATTGCCAGCAGATCGCAGGATGTGATCGTTCCCCTCTATTTGGCATTGGTGAGGCCTCATCTGGAGTACTGTGTCCAGTTTTGGGCCCCACACTAGAAAAAGGATGTGGAAAAACTGGAGAGAATCCAGCGGACGGCAACAAAAATGATTAGGGGGCTGGAGCACATGACTTACGAGGAGAGGCTGAGGAAACTGGGATTGTTTAGTTTACAGAAGAGAAGAATGAGGGGGGATTTGATAGCTGCTTTCAACTACCTGAAAGGGGGTTCCAAGGAGGGTGGATCTAGACTGTTCTCCGTGGAACCAGATGACAGAACAAGGAGTAATGGTCTCAAGTTGCAGTGGGGAAGGTTTAGGTTGGATATTAGGAAGAACTCTTTCACTAGGAGGGTGGTGAAGCACTGGAATGGGTTACCTAGGGAGGTGGTGGAATTTCCTTCCTTAGAGGTTTTACTCCTTGAAAAAGTAGTAGTGCCTGTCCCACTCATTCCTTGTTCTTCCTCTCCTCTTCCCTGGGCTGCTCTCTGGTCCTTTCTCCTCCCTCCAGAGAGGTGAAATTGGTGGTTTCCCGTCCTAGCTTGGCTCACTTTGCCAAGCAAGATTTATATTTCCCCTAGGTAAGTGGATATTTCAGGACCAGATTTAGACGCTACTACGCCCAGTGCATTCAAGGTCTTTGCATTTCTTATCAGTATAATATGCCACAAATATGATTTGTGATTTTCTAACTTTATTATTCAATTCTTTGCTATATTTTGTTCTTTTCAACATTTCCGTTTTGTTCTTGTTTAATGCCTTCATTTCTCTTTCTGTGCGTCTTCATTACCTAATTCATGCAATGGCATTTTGAGTTTCTAAAGTTTGGCATATAAATCATAGCCTGGATCCATACTACTTTCTCCCCAGATATTTGGAAAATAACTGCTTTTACAGGTGTACTATCTAGATTTGTATCAGGGGGTAGCCGTGTTAGTCTGTATCTACAAAAACAACAAGGAGTCTGGTGGCACCTTAAAGACTAACAGATTTATTTGGGCATAAGCTTTCGTGAGTAAAAACCTCACTTCTAGATTTGCAGGCCTAAAATTTTTCCCTATCTATTATGTAGTATAAATGCTAAGAAAGTGAAATAGCTGGTGCACGAATGACAAATTTTACTTTACCGCTTGTTCACAAGAATGGAGCATACAGGTACAGAGCTGAAGTCTACACAGCAAAATCTCTCATCAAGTCCCTCATGTTATATTATAATTAATGTTGCCTTACCGGCCTCCTTGACGCCTACGTTGGCTCTATTTTTGTTCTGACCATATTACCAAGCCTATGAATACTTCGTGGCTCGTCCTTCTTCACTATAAGTTCATGTTTCTTAAGAATATCTTTAAGGCCCTACTTAACTGTGCCTCTTCCTATTTTTCCAGTTTTAACTCAATTTGCTAACTTGTATGAAAATGGCAAACTGCTTTGCCTTCGCTAGAATTTTACCTTGCGATAATCTAAGTCAAGTTACTAACGTAGGAACACATCCGTTTTCCTCCAGTGAAGTCAAAGTCTTACAGCGTGTCGTTTCCCCAGGCCCATACCAAAGAGCAAATTTCTCTAGAACTACCATTGGTCTTGCATAAGTGCCCTTCTGGCTGTTTAGCATATTGATTAGGTTTTGTGTGTGTAATTTTCAAGCACTGTCCTTTATATGCCTTCATACAATGGAGGTCCATAGTGATGTATCACAGAAATCTTCATCAATTCCTCTAAGGGAAGACTGATGTAACAAAATGATCACTTCTTATCTTAGGAGCCGTGGCTGGGCCTCTGTATCTATCCAGATGCTTTAGGTTTGTCTACACTATAAAGACGATGCCAGAATAGCGGTAGCCATAGCTATACCAGCATAACTCGATAGTATGGAGCAGGGGTGGGCAAACTATGGCCCGGGGGCTACATCTGACCCTCAAGCTCCTGCTGGGGAGTGGGGTCCGGGGCTTGCCCCACTTCGCGTGGCTCCCAGAAGCAGCGGCATGTCCCCCCTCCGGCTCCTACCCATAGGGGCAGCCATGGGGCTCCGCATGCTGCACCGGCCGCAAGCACCACCCCCACAGCTCTAGGGGCGGTGTCTGCAGACAGGGTAGCACGCAGAGCAGCCTGTCTGCGCCTACGCGTAGGAGTCGGACGGGAGACATGCTGCTGCTTCTGGGAGCTGCTTGAGATAAGCGCTGCCTGGAGCCTAACCCCCTGCCCCAGCTCTGATCCCCCTCCTGCATTCTGAACCCCTTGATCCCAGCCTGGAGCACCCTCCTGCAACCTGAACTCCTCATCCACAGCCCCACCCCAGAGCCCGCACCTCCAGCCAGAGCCCTCACCCCCTTCCGCACCCCAACCCACAATTTCATGAGCATTCATGGCCCGCCATACAGTTTCTATACCCAGATGTGGCCCTTGGGCCAAAAAGTTTGCCCACCCCGGTATAGATACATCCAGCATGACAGATGGGGTTTTCAGTCAATATAGGAACACCATCTCCCTGAGCGATGGTAGCCAGACCGATGGAAGCATTCTTCCATTGTCATAGCTGAATCTATACAGTGGGTGAGGTCAGCATAGCTACATCGTTCACAGGTGTGTTGTTGTTTTTCCCTTCACACCCCTGCCCAATGTAGCTATGTCAGTCTACCTTCTAAGTGTAGACCAGGCTGTAGGGCTCCACCACCCCACGATCCACTTTCTAAATGGGGGGTTAGGTCAGTTTAGCTGTCTCGGGGGTGTGGATTTTTCACACCTCGAGCAATGTAGTTATACTGACCTAATTTTCTATTGTAGACCAGGCTTTAGATGGCCCTCATCACCATGTATCGGAGTGGTGTGTCTCCATCCACTTTAGTTGTTTGGAATGCTGGCAAGTGTGAGGGAGGGCCTGGTGGGAGTGTCTCCTCTTCACGCCCTGCTAAGGGCATTTGCAGCAAAAATGGAGATTTCATATTATCCCTCCCTACAAGGGGATAGTCCCCTCTCCCCTTTCTGCGCGGTCAGAACTGATGAGGATTCTCTTTCAATGCAGTACTTAGCAGCTATAGAATATTAGCTTCCAGGGATATGCAAATACCCTTTAATGCTTGTAATTACTTAAAAAGATTCTGTGACCACCCCACCCCCTCCACGGTCAAGCAGGAACATATTCTGTGGAGCCAATGACATCAAGAAGTGGTATATTTTAGCTGATTAGCACAGTGAAACTTCATTGGAATCAGAGTGAAATCTACTGAATGCGTTAAAACTATTTTGAACTATCTCTGCTGTAATCATTTGCACTATAATTTAATGCACTAAAAGTCAACTCCTTAGTATTTGCACCCGAAATTGTCTCAAGTTGTCCTGAGCACCATAGTGAAGCTGACCTAAGTCTCTATGTAGGTCATGCTACCTCAATGGAAGAGTTCTTCTGTCAACCTAGCTACCGCCCCTCAGGGAGGTGGATTAACTACAGCGACAGGAGAACCCCTTCTGTCGGTGTAGGTAACATCTACATGGAAGCACAACAACCGTGAAGCTATGCTGCTGTAGCCTTTCAAGTGTAGACAAGCTGTCAGTAGGATACCCTGGATACCACTTGGCTCTACATTTAGTTGTAATTTGAAACTTTTGACTATTTTGTGACTTTATCTGGCACTTTGAACTGTAGTGACTAATCTTATTTTGATGCCTGCGTTCCAGGTTGAAGATAGCAGTAATGCTAACGCTGGCAAGCAAACTGAAGCGGGATGATGGTGTCAAAGGGCCCCGTACATCCAACCCAGCTTCTGATTCTACTCGGAGAGTGTCTATTAGAGATAAATTGCTTGTAAAAGGTAATTGATCCTTATGTTTAAAAGATTTGCTGTCCCATTAAATATAGTTACTTCATCAACTGACAAAACTAAATTCTGTACACAAGAGTTTATATCAATGTTTTTAAAAGGGCTTCCTTATGTCACAAGGGCGTTGTGAAGTTAAATGCATTAAAGATTGTGAGAGACAAGATAGGTGAAGTAATATCTTTTATTGGACCAACTTCTGTTGGTGAGAGAGACACGCATACGACAATTACAGATTTTAGGTACTTTGAGATCTACTGATGAAAAGTGCTATATAAGAGCTAAGTATTAATACTACTATTACTGTTATTTGGACGCATATTACTGTGCATTGTATATTATATAAGCAGCAATCTCCAGATCTGAGATTCAACCACTGAAATGTTGAGTTCAAACTTCGTGTTACTAGTAGCCACTTAGGTGCAAGTAATGCCAAAAAAAAAAGTTCTGTAAATAGACCATTCTTTTATATTCTTTAGTGCTAAAGTCCAGTGTTTGACATCACAGTCATCAAATAATCAATTGTGATTATATGGTGACAACATTAGTATTACTGAATAAACTGGACAAGAAGATTAAGTTGATTTGGAAGGAAAATATCTCTGTTAACAGAAATATAGGTAACTGGCTATGACAGGAAATCACGTTCTGAAAGTAAGTGATGGATGGAGGTAATTCTCAGTGACTTCTCAACTATGATTAAATGAAATCTTTGAACATTAATATCTTTGAAATGAAAAAGAAATAGCCAGTTCAACAGACGTTAATGCTACGGCCCATTTTGGGTCAACAGAAAGTTGTGGGTAAGAAATGTGCTGCTGAAAATTAAAAAAAAATCTACATCTTATTGATATCTCAGAGGGGCTTTTGTAGACTGCAGCGAGCTGGATATCAGTCTGTGGAAAGATCCCCTAGTTTCTGCAGATTTCTGCTGCAGCAAACTAAAAATTTTGCAGCAATTCTATGTAAGTGGGGAAAAAAGGCAGTGGCCAGTGAACAAAATATGAAAATGAATAATAAAATCAGTATAGCATTTTTATATTAAAATGGATACAAATTTTCCTGCTGCCAAATCTTATGTGGTACAGGATATTGCATTTAAAATCTCAAAGCACTTGGCATTTTGAGGGTGGGATGTGGCTTAACTCCTCTTTTCCACATCCTTGCAACACTACACAGCTTTTCACTATAATATAATAATGGATAACCTGGTTAGGTTGATGTTCTTGCTAAAAACAATTAGCAGTGAATTTATCAACGTTGACCTGTAAGTTGTCATAGTGAAGTTCCGTGGTCCGTTCAAATGCAACAGTTCATATTTCTCAGTCCCGTTGTTTCAGGATTACTCGAAACTGACCTCAGCACATCAGTTTATATTCATTTTGTGTTAGGCATGTTACTTCCCAACCATAGTGCTAGAAACCTGTCTTTTAAAATGAAAGCTTAGATTCTGTCACATAACAGCACAGCAGGGAATAGATTTGTTGTAAATTTTGCATCCTCCTGTAGTCCACATTCAGATTCTCCTCACGGCCTATCTTCCTTCATTTGTGTAGCCGGGTAGGGGAGAGGTTTCAATTCAGGTTACAGATACTTGTGACCACTGTTCAGGTCTCTCAAAAAGCTTGCCAAGAGCATCTAGCTGAAAGAGTTAAAATGTGGATTTATTATTTGCTTTGCAGTTTAGCATTAAGCGTGGTTCTATGTGCCCTGTGTGTTAAAGGAAAATGGTGATGTAGTATAAAGTACATTCTAATTACTACTTATAATACAAAAGAGTAAAATACTATATTTAAACATTTCATTTTCTGTCAGATGAATTTTCATAGCATGCTTAATAATGGCAACAATGTACTTTAATTACAAAAATGTAGAAATATATATTCATATTCTTCCTCGTGCAGTCAGTGGGAAAGTGATATAAAGATATAGCCATTGCTGTAACCATCACTAACAAACTTTAGTAAACTAAATGTTAGGCAAGTTACAAATCCCAAACTGACAATTAAAATTAGAACTAAAAGCAACGAGCAGACAGATCTCAACCACAGCAACCAATTATTAAATAAAATGACCAGAGTCATGACCAGAGTTGAACTGGTCCAGAGGGAGAAATTCTGGGGGATGGGTGTGCTGGCCATCAAGGGAACCGACCTCAGAACAAACAAGCTGATCTTAACTATTGCTGTGGGTACAGGTGGAGAGGGAGTCTTTCAGGTAATTGGGTCCTGGAAGATTTGAGGCGTAAAAGATAATTCACTAGCACATTCATTGCACAGGTCTTGTCTAAACTAGGTACATTTCTGGAAAGTTTCCCACTGTTAACATTAATTCAGCTGACGGGTGTTGTCAGTGTGATGAGCCTTAGTGTAGATGGGGTTTCAGCTGCTGATGTGGTTTTCACACTTTATTATTTAGACCTGCAGGGAGCAAATTTTAATTGACAGGGAACTGATAAACTGTTGGCAGCCAAAAGCCTGTATACACTAGGGCTTCTAACATTGCAAACAACAGTTCAGCTGAACCAGTCTGAGCAATGGTGAGACATTCTTCAAAACTCTTTCTATTTTAGAGGGGACAATGATGACTCACCCTGTACTCAACTTCAGGCAGCTGCACTATGCTCAAGCCAAAGGTTCTGGGTGAATTTTATGGGGAGCCCTAAGTAGAAACAATTACCTTAATTTATTTAGCCTGGAGGTTTTCCACTTGCACAGTATGTCAGGAAGGAGTGATCAGTCTACTGGGAATTGTGTACATTAATGGCAGTGATCCAATTGTTTTTTACTTCACGTATTGTCTACAGTGCAAGAAATAAATACTCCCTGTTCCCAATGGGTGTCAGCGAGAGATGATGTTGAACCAGTGCTGAAATTCAGGTTACAGATGCTGTGAGTGTAGATAGGCAGGAGCAAGCAATGTTCAGCACCATTTTCCTTGTCTATACGTGTAGCTGAACCAGTATTAAACACAATTTAACTGTATCTGTTACCTGTTGCTGACGTTTCTTGTCAGTAACATATGTTTTGTAGTGCAGACAAGGCCTCAAAATCCAGGAGTAGTGATGAATCCAACAGGATACCCAGACTGTAAAGTATTTTGATGGTAGGTGGGCATTCCTTTAATTGGTGCAACATCTAGCCCATTCAACTAGATGTTTTACACTTTCAACAAGATATCACTTCAGTCTTGACATGATAATCACAGCCAGTTCATTTTCATGTAGGTGTCTATTTTGGCCAGGCTTTGGGGAAGGAATGAAACAGTAGAATCTGTGTTTGGTCAAAGAAGTGGAACTGGATATCATTAGCATACTAATCACACTTCAGCCTAAAAAATATCTAGCCATCAACCAGCTGTCACAAATAACCCAGATGCCATTTTGACCATCTGATGTAGATTGGGACATAGCTGGCCAGGGGCATGGCCCCTAACCTGATTTTTAAAGGTTTTAAACACTGTCTACACTAAGTGCAAACAACATTTTAAAGAGCACTTAATTAAAACATTCTAGATAATGTGGCTTTCAAATGATCACCTTTTTTTCTAGTCTAGATGAGACCTTAATGAGTTTGAAGACAGCATATGAATGAGGTGGTAACCTTAACATCTAATAACTTAAATATCGCCACTAACTGATTATTTTAGCAGAATTATTCTTATCAGCTAGGTATTACCATAATCAGTTGTTCTTGGATGCACTGGTGGATATAGGAGGTTAAGATGGCCTCTCTAACTTAAGTTTTAAAAGGTTCTGCTAAAAATGAGGGGGCCTCTCACCCATCCTTTTGGTCACTATCTATCTGTAGGCTTGCCTTTGACCAATCCCCTGTGCAACGGTTAATATTATTATTAATGCTAATACTAGTCATTGATAAGGCTACGATTATGTCACAGAAGTCAGGGAATCCGTGATTTCCATTGACCTCTGTGACATTTTCTGCCATGGGATTGGAGCTCTCAGCCAGCCCTGCCCACGCAGCTCCCAGCACCTGCCCTGGTGGGGGGACCCTGCAGCTGACCAGCCGCAGCAGGCAGGGGAACCCCAAGCTCCCACGCACCGCAGCGGTGGGGGACCCGGGAGCCCCAGTACCAGTGGGTGCTCAACCCGCCTACCCCTTTTTGCCAGGGATATTTTTAGTGAAAGTCAGAGACAGGTCACAGTCAGAGACAGGCTTCCGTGAATTTTTGTTTATTGCCCGTGACCTGTCCATGACTTTTACTAAAAATATCCATGATGAAAACTTAGCCTTAGTCATGGACTAGGAGGACCCTGTTGTGCTAGGGATTGTACAAACACAGAACAAAAAGATGGCCCCTATCCTGAAGATCTTACAGGGGGAAATAATTCTATGGGAGTTAGGGATATTGTTTTCCAGCTGTGTTGCCCTCTGGCGGTTGCTGTCATGGCTGATAAGCAGTAATTGATGGCGGCTTCTCCCCTGCTAATTGCTTCTGCAATTGATGTAGCACAATTAAGAGCTCCATAATGATTGCCATATCTGAGAGCCAAACAGGAGGTTTGGGGAGAGGAACAGATCAGAACTTGGAGAGATCTGCTGCCTAAAATCCCTGAGAGAGACTGTTCTTTGGGGCTTTCACTGAGGTAATATGATAGAAGAGGAGCAGAAACGAAGCCCAGGATTAGAAGAATTAGGTGTCTGAGAGTAGAGGAGAACGGGGAGTAGTAGTTCAGGCTGTCCACTCTGGAAGAGAAGCTATGAGGGGAAAAATGGAGACCAAATAGAAACTAACATAAATTGAAAGAGAAATGCAGAGATGAGGCAGATGTACACAGTGGGGATAAAGAGTGATGGAGGGAGCAGGCTGTGGTAAATGAAACAGAGGGCAGAAATAATTGTCCTAAAAGATGCTCTGCATTTTTGTCCCCCCTCTCCCCCCCGCCTCCCCACTGAGGAATGCTGGATGGACAAAGCATCAACATAGATAGGATATGCTGAGTGTGCAGCACTGTCTTTTGGGTAGTTTTGGCAATGCCTGGTGGGGCAGAAATGAGTCGTGCAGGGGTGTGTGGGAGCAAGGGGTGAATTTCCCATAATGCAGTGCTCTATCCCATCATTTTCCGGCCTATTTTCAATTTCCCATGAACCCAGGCATGACTTGTCACTATCTGCCTCTCTGACAGAAACATGGAAACTGCACAGCTCTGCACTGCTGTCTTGTGTTTCGAGCACAGCATGCATGATCCTACGGCATTTGCAGAGCCTCAAGAAGAATCATAGGGAACATGACAATTTTTTGGCGGTCAGTTGGTGGTGAGACATAGAGAAAACCAATTCAGGGTTGTTGGTGGGATTCATGGAGCAGCTGCAAATGGTGGAGCACCACTTCTGGGCCCAAGAAACAAACACTGACTGGCGGGATCGTATCGTAATGCAGGTTTGGGATGACGCGCAGTGGTTGCAGAACTTTCAGATGCACAATGCCACATTCCTAGATCTGTGTCCTGAACTTGCCCAAGGAATCCACTTCAGGGACACCAAAATGAGAGCTGCACTGACAGTGGAGAAGGGAGTGGTGATCACACTGTGGAAACTTGCAATCCAGATTGCTGTCAGTCAGTAGGAGGTCATTTGGAGTGGGAAAAATCCACTACATGGGACATTGTCATGCATGTGCGCAGGGCCATTAATTGTCTCCTGCTATTCAGGACTGTGATTCTGGGAATGAACAGGACATAATTGATGGCTTTCGAGCTATGGGTTTACTGAATTATGGTGAAGCAATAGACAGCGCATACATCCTCATTTTGGCCCAGAGCCCTTGCCACAGAATACATCAACAGAAAGGGTTACTTTTCCATGGTTATGCAGGCGCTGGTGGATCACCTGGGATTCTTCACAGACATCATGTTGGCTTGTCAGAGAAAGTGCAGGACACTCGCATCTTTAAGAACACAGGACTGTTCAGAAAGCTACAAGTGGGGAACCATCTTTCCCACAGATGGATTATTACCACTGGTGATGTTGAAATGCCAGGAGTGATCCTGGGGGACCAG